AAAAACATGGAAGACCATTAAATATTTATTTCAGTTTAATTTTAATACAGGTAAAAGTCAGATGAAATTTTAGTGTTTACTTATACAACTCTATTTAATGAATAAAAATATTTTCACAGTGAAATTTATGAGTACTAAATGAAAAAACCCAATTTTCCCCGGGTTTTTTCAAATAAAACCCAATTTTCCCCGGGTTTTTTCAATAAAACCCAGGCGGGTTGGGTTTTTTCAAAAATCCCCGGGTTTTTTCAAACCCTTCAAATAACACATGTTATTTGAAAACTGTGGGGAAATGAAAATTGTACAGGGGTCGTGATCGAAAAATTTGCTGCTGTCTGGTTAGTTAATAGGTCCTCAGTTTTTTTCTTTTCTTTTTTTAAAAAGCTATTCATAAAAATTTTGTAGTTGACTACAGTGTAAACTTTTCATGGAGTTAGTTTCGATTTTTTTTAAATTTTTTCCCCGCTTACATAGGTACCTTTTGTATGACGCTGATAATTCGTTCTTTTTATTTTTTCATCACGCTTAAAAAAAAATAAAAAAACTTATCAAACTATTAATTTGCATTTTCCTCTCTTTTTGTAGAATTATGAATTAATGCAGCCACGCTGTTTCTTTCGCATTTGCTGTTCTTAAAATATTATCGGTGTTGAAGTGTCCATTTGATCTTCTTGACCTCATCTTGTTGAGACAAAGAATATAGTGTTGCAGACCATTTCCGTGATGGATCATAATACTTGCTTCCATTGTTTCTAACTGAAAGGATGTTGGTCACATGGTTTCCACCATTTTTCCATTCCTTTTTTTGGAACAAGAGCTTAAACATTTTTTATTTATTTGCGAGCGGCTGTTTCACTAACCCACTGCTTCGCGATTGAACTCAGTCTTTACGAATACCCTTCTTTGCGACTTAACGTCGTCTTGCGCCTTCACGAATTTACTGCTTCGCGGCTCTACTTTGAACCTACAGCTTTAGGCAGAAATGTGTGTGCAGCATGGGAAAAACGACATTGCATATTTAAAGTGCAAAATGCCTTCAATAACTTGAGGAAAAAATTCAGCATAATTTATTTCGCGATATATTTTTGTGTGGAAAATATTTGAAAGGAACAAATTAGTTTTGTTTTTTGCGTAATAAGTATTAAAATAACAAAATTTTTTTTACTTAAACATGGTGTGTAGCGTTTTTAAAAAGTGCTTAAACGTGCTCATTTTTGTTTTTTGAAAGCCCTTAAAGGTGCTTTTTTCATTGGGTGTTTTTAAAAAGTGCTTAATCTTCCCTTTTCGAAAATTATATTTTTTCTTTATCTTGTCGATTTTCGCCACGTATTATGCAAAAGCTTTCTTTTCACATTGTTCTATTCAACGTTTTCACAATTCATTCAACATCTATCTATTTTGTCGTACCGTCGGTCCATAGCGTATGAAAGCGCCAATCATGTTACATGTTTGATGAAATGCTTGCGGTTCCGTACGTGCGTGTACTGAGCTGGATTCGGAGAGATTATTGCACTCTCATGCAACTCTGCTGCATTTTTCAGGATATTCTAAATTTCAGGCTTCCCCCCCCCCCCCTCTAATATCGAACCGAAAAATCTCGATCTTTTTATGGTGGCTAATATAGTCAAGAAAAGAGTTCTTTGTCAGAAACTAGTTATTTTATCAGGATCATGTAGTCTTTGAAAATTATTTTGCATTTTGTTAAAGTATATAGTGCTTAAAAATATTTTTTGAGTACTTAAAAGGTGCTTATTTTTTGTTGAAAGATTTGGCTACACTTCTTGTTAAAACATTTTTTAAGTAGAATCCGGGGGACCTAAGTTTTTATATTTAAATTTTTTTTCTTATTATACTAATTTTTTTCTTTACTCGTTACTGAACATTTAAGATGTCACATTTTTTATGAAACCTTGTCAAAAAGTTTTGAAAATTTTTTTGTTCATATTTTTTAATACATATATTTGCTCAGAATTGTGATTAATTAAATATACATGAAGATACACTGGTTATCATAAATTAAGGAAAATTCACAAAAATCGCGATAACTCAAGAAATTACACATGGAATTTTATGAAACTTACCCACAATATACAACACATAGTAAGGTATTAANTTGCTCAAACTTGTGATTAATTAAATATACATGAAGATATATTGACAGGGGAGAAGGCTTAATAAGTTTATTGAAATCTATGTGTTATCTTTAAGCTATTTGAAAATATTGATCGGAATTAAGCTAATTTTCATTTTCTTTTAATGGAAGAATTAAAAACAATTTAAAGCCTCAAAGATTGCTGTTGCTATGTATCTTTCTCATTTTCATAGAAAATGGTTATGAAAAAAAAGTGCGCATATTTTGGATTGAAAGTTAAAATTTAATCAGGGGGAAATAAAAATCTGTATCGAAATCTGACGACTGGCCGCGGGTGCACTCATCAAAACTTATTTGATTATAAGCTTGAAATTTTTTTTTCTAATGTTTTTCAACCCCCTCTGTTTCCTCCTCAATCAAACAGGTTTTAGTGTTCAATGAACCCCTTTCCTGAGATGTCAAATTTCGATAGCGCTTTTATTTTTCCAAGCTTTAGCAGAGATGATTGTGCTCCGGAAAAAATCCGGATTTTCGGATTTTTCATTAACTGAGATCCAGAAGTTTCAGGAAATCCATGATCTAGAAGTTTCAAGAAATCATCGATGTATAAAAATTATGTATAAAAATTCTTGTATATTTTATTTAAAAATATTAGAACTAGAATTTATACTTGGCATAGCTTTCATTTGCAAGTATTTTCTCTGGTAGAATAATAAATGTGATTAGAGATAAAAGGAAACTTATACATAATCATTCATTTAAATTATGCTGCATATAATTTATTTAGAAATTCATGTTCTGAAAATATCAATGATTTAAATGAAAAAGACATTGTTTTTTTGAAATGCGTCATTACTTATTTTACTTCCGGACAAAAATCCGGAAAAACTTCCGGATTTTTGAGTTAGGCTCACAGTCACCCCTGCTTTAGTTAATTAGGGGTCACAAATTTATATTCAGTATATATACTTATTTAATCTTTAGTGAACAGTCTATATTTTGTTTTTTCGTTAATGTTTTCATTCTTTTAATAGAGTGAACATTTTGTTGATGAACAATTTTTCTCAGAAACTATATCATGTCACCGGCTATTATTTTGATATTGAAAATGGAGGTAAAGTAAAACATTCTAAATGAAAACATTTTAAATAAAAAGAGAACAAAAAACCAAAGAAAAGAAACAAGAACAAAAAAAAAAAGAAGAAAAATTTTTTTTCTTAATTTTCTAATATAAAATTTTTTTAATGCAAGCAGAATTTTTCTAGCAGAATTATGAAAATATTGTTGTTTTTTCAGAATGTTGATATTTATCACACTCTTCTAGATAGAATTTTCTACTCGCTTAACTTTTGGCTGTTTTATGCTAAAAAGTTTTATATGTGTGATATATATATATACATACCAGGGGTATGTATTCACAAAATATCTTTTCATAAAAACGGACCCTTCACAAAATATTTTAACTTAAAAACGGACCCTTCACAAAATGATTTTTCTTTTAATCGGACCCTTCACAAATTTGTTTATCTTCATTATTATTTTGTTAATCGAATAAACCCTTTCCAGGGCAGAAAACAAGAAAGATGGATGTAAACGAAGTTTTGTCTTCGGCAGACGATTCGGTCCGAAATTAATACTCTGCGTATAGGCTAAATACCAAATATTTGTATGTTGCATCTCTAATTTAGAAGCAGCAATTGCTGTTTATTTTTTAAAATTTAATTTTTTTAATTATAATTTTACAGTGTTGAGCATAATCTTGTATGTCTTTACAATTTAAAAACTCCTTGAAAAGGTTTTTTTTTCCAATAACGGACCCTATTTGCACAAATTCATAAAAGCGGACCCTGGTTGAAAGAATGTGAGTAATTTTTTCACAATTTCACGAAAAGCGGACCTTTCACAAAATGTCTGGACAGACCCCTGCATACATACATACACGTTCGAACCCCGCTATAGTCAATCAGTTCACTATATCTGTACTGCAAACAAATTTAACTAATTTTTCCGAACTGATCCCTTTTATTACACATTATTTAAATAAATTACCAATGAAAAGAAATACGAAAATTATTAAAAGACAATATGCTGTAACAAAAAATGTTTTATTTTTTATCACTCTTCATCTTACATGCAGAAAAATTTAGGGATGGGAAATCGAGATCGAGTGCTACATTTCACTCAATAACTGGTTTTAAAAATCGGTATATGTATTTTATGTTAAAATTTCTAAATTACAAAAAAATGAAGAAAAAAATCAGTTGAAGACAGAAAAAAGTTCATAATGTCCAACTTCCTCTATTCTTTTGGCTCACTATATCCACAAAAAATAATATATGTGTATAGCAAGGCACAGGAGAATACATTTTGTTCACTTTATCCAGGAGTTCACTATAAACCATGTTCACTGTAGCGGGGTTTGACTGTAAAAACTTGTCCATTTTAAACTTATGTATAACAGAATAATTGGCGATGTTTATACATATCTTTTCAAATCTAAAATAATTGTGCTGTTTTGATTGTTTTTACTCAATTTAGTATTCTCTTCCTATTTTTTTAATCTTACCTATTTTACTTCATTGGAACATAATTGAAGAGAAATAATTTTTTTTTTAGTGAAAGGAATTTTTTTATTTAAAAATAAAGTTTTTTTTATCATGTGGTATCTATACACATTATTATAAGGCATCATTAGATCCAACACATTTACATGTTGCACAAATGTTGCCAATTTATGTAAAAAAAAAAACCCTGCTATTATGGTACCACACTAGATAAATATATTTTTAGCCATTATTTAGTAATGTTATTTTATTTCAATTATAATTTATTTGAGCCTAATGAAATATTTGTATAGATGTATAAGCAGATGTTTTTGCTTACTAAAATGGTGTTACTTGGCATACAGGTGATAGCCTTCATCTGTGGACTTATAGTCATTCTGTTGATGATCCTCTGTCTGGCATCTTCAAACTGGCTGACTGCAGAGAAGTTCCGTCAAGGACTGTGGGAGCAGTGCGTGGACGAAAATGCCAAGCAGCCACTGCCCTTTGAGCTTAAGGTCAAGCCTGGATGCTATCCCGCCAGGAGAGTTGGTAACGTCTTTTGCTTCTTCTATTTTGTTATTGAAATAGAGTTTTAAGTCTTGGAGAAATTTTCAGTTTATAAAAATGTCTTGCTTGTTACAAATGCATTCATTACATTGTCTAATATCATACAAGTCTCGTTGCTCATTCCAATAAATTTGTTCTTACATATAATAAAGGGAAAGCTATACAACCTAGATTGTTTATAACAGATTTATTTTATTCTTCTAATATTCCATATTTCTGGGCCTGTGAATTTTTTTTCATTCTTAGAATTTAAATTTAAGATATTGGGAGTACAAATTAGTTATCCGTTTTTTTTTTTTTTTTTTTTTTTTTGTCAAAAATGTATTTATTTCAGAACAAAATGAAAGGTGACCTGCCAAATAGTGCTGCATTTGTCAGAACAACCAGTAATCAGAAGGAGCAATGTCCAGCAAATACCGCGGGTTCGGTAAAGTGTCCCACTTGAGCATTTCCAAATAATTTTTTACGATATTTTAGACACCAGGCCGACCTTTATTATGCAGAAGAATAACTTTGTCATGTCTTTGCTTGTAATCCGTCCGTTTTTCTCGTAATGCGCGGCTTAAACGAATCAATTGTAGCCTAAACCGATCGCCCGTAATGGAATCACCAGATTGTAGCAGCTCATAGTATACAACACTATTCATCATTCACCATTCTTCATTCACCATTTACCATTCTTGAAACGTCGAAACCATTCCCTACATTATTTATCAGTTGGAGCATTGTCACCATAAACTTCTACAAGCATTCGATTCACTTCAGCTGCGCTTTTCTTCCAATTAAAGCAGAAGCATAAAACCTCCCGCAAATGCTGCTTCATTACCACAAAATTTGACATATTCAACAAAGTAAAAAACAGGGCTTTTCTATGAAACTCAAAGTGATACAAACTGAATATTATTGACAGATGTTTAACCTCTCTGAAACCAGCTGTCACTATATAACATTCATAACAGCAGAGCCATCTCTTAAAAAAGAATCAAACTAATTTGTACATTTTAAAATGTCATATTTTGTGCATTTTGACCAATTTTTATTTAATGTGTGCAGGATACATCCAGGCAGCTGCTGCTCTTTGCGTGATCACCCTCCTGTTGGATATAGGGGCAACGGTCATGACCGGAATGGGATTGTGCAGTAAAGATCCTACTCGCAAATACACTCTCTACAGATTTGCTCTCTATGTTATGGTTGGAGCCTGTAAGTGTTATTTCCTCTTTCTTTACTACATTAATATATATATAGCAGCAGTTATAGAAGCAGTTAATTGTGAAAAAACAGTACATTATCTTTTATTCAAAGTATTCTCCTTTACTAGGTACTACTTTTCCCCATCTTTCTGGGAGCATTCCATACAAAGTCGGAGGAACTCTTCATCTTTCAAAGATATCCACAAATCAACCCCTTGGTTTCTTCAAATAATGTAACTTTTTGTTCAGACAGACCATATGCCATTGACTGGAATAGGCGATAATCTGAAGGGGCAAGGCCGGGTGAATACGGTTGGTGGGGTAGGACTTCCCATTGAAGTATTTTCCAATAGCGAAATCAATTTTCATGCAAAATTGACGTTCAATGTCTCTTGACTTCAGTTAGTATGGAACCCAATTTCCTTGTTTTTGTATCATTCCCAACAATTTTAAACGATGTGAAATTGATTGCTGATTCACTTGTAATGTAAGAGCAAGTTCTTTTTGCATTTTGGACAAATCTTCTTCCAATAATTCTTCCAATTCCTTGTCTTCGTACAATTTCGTGTTCTTTGTCTTTCACGTCAAACTCACCTTTTTTAAACTTCTGAAACCACTCTCGACAACTTCTCTCATTTAAAGCAGCCTCACCATATGCTTCTTCAAGCAATCGATGTTGCTCAGCTGCTGATTTCTTCAAATTAAAGAAGTAAATTAAAAGTTCCTGCATATATGAGGCTTATTTGGCACAAATCTTAGCATTGTTGCACCAAAACAATTACATAATGCTAATGCGGAATCATCAATACGGTAAGGTTATGTTGTTACCAGATGAACAAACTTAAGAAGTTTAACACCATCCAATTACTACATAACCTTCTGGTAGTGCCATCTTGTGATGAAGGGCAGAAACTTATTTATGCACCCTATAAATATATATTTATATATAAGTTTAAGGGTTTGAATAAGTGATGGCAAAAATCAAATATTTAATGTAACCCTTTTTATGGCTGAGGGAAGTAGGCTTCCTTCATTAATATTTAAATAATGATGGGATACTAAATCTTCTTCTATGATTTGTGTTGCGATCAGCTAATAACTTTAGGAAAAAAAGGTCTTTGTTTAATAAGGGTAACAGTAAAGATTTGTGTTGGGTTAAAAAGAGAATGCTACGCTGTGAAGCTATTTTCTTTTGTGCATTGCAAAATCATTCCTTTCTTATCAAGTTTATTTCAAATTATAAGCACAGAATTTATACTTTCAGTTATTTATAAGCACAGAAGTTCAAGTTTGTGACCAATAACTTCGAACATCTTTAGAAATGGTTCAACTTTGAAAATCTCATTAAAAAAAAGTAACTCTCGGTAATAAGCCAAATGAATTATATTTTATAAATCAATCTCATTCCTAAAAATATTTTAACGATACATTTCTGGAAAAAAATGTCCTTATTCAGGGTTATCTAAACAATACGTAAACAATAGGCTAAATAAAAGGTAGTATAACTATGTTATTTCAGATCTTATGTTACCATTTCTAGTATTTTTATTAAAATGAATATTGGTTGCTGGATGGCAGCCAAATTTTCACTTTAAAATTCATCTCAATTTAGAGATTTGACAGGTCATGTATTACCAATCTAATGAATACGGTAGTTATAATATTTATTGAAAACTGAAAAATTTATTTGGTTTTCCAGATGTTGGTCTGTTTGTTACTGGTAAGAATTTTCTTTTACTTAAATTGGGAAAATTTACAACAGTTAAAAATTTACTGAAATATTGCTTTTGAGTTTTCATGAAATAAAATATTTTTATAAGAAAATAAGCATTTTTTGGTAACTCTTTGCCTCTTGCAATCATATGATCTGCCTTTTTAAGTAAGTAAAATTTCAAGTTTCTCCATCTCAAATTGTTTTGTCAAAAACCAAGTCAAACTATAAATACATTTACTCCAGTGATAATTATTTTGTTTTTATATCTTATATGTTTGTATTTTTATTTTTATTTTTTTAAAGTTTGAGGCATATTTCAATATGAGACTGCACAGACATTGGTATCCTGTTGAATTTTATTAAAAAGGAATTTTTTTTTTCACTCTACATACTCTAACATTTTAAACAAAAAAAAATTGCTAATTTGCTTAATGGTTCTATTGAATTACCAAAACAAATTAGCTACTTTGTTAAAATCAAACTGCACTTATTTGCTGTTATTAATTATCATTGTGTTAGCAATTTTCTTTTGATAGCCAGAGGAATAAACTTTTACTATTATAACTTCTTATACATTTAAATTTTAAAACAAATAATGCATTAGTTCGAGCAAATGTACGAAGTAATAATACATTTTAATGCAAAATAAATGAATGGTAATCAAGCTTACTGGCACTGTTGAAAAATAAGTTAGTGTAACTAAGCAATTGAGTATGAGCATTAAAAACTTTAAATCAATCTTCACATTTATTCAACTCATTTATAAATAAAATGGACTTTTGCTTAGACATTTTTTAAGTCTACATGAAGAATTTTTGTGGTTATTAATAATGAGACTGCGACAACCATTCTTTTTGAGAATGGTTTTTTGGCGGTTCGTCCTTTGAAACACGCAGAATGATGACAAGGGCCTATCATATATAATGCATATTTATTTTAGATTCTCCATTATTGTGCTCAATATTTATCAGGGAATAGAGCGTTAGTCTACCATTGAGGTGAACCGGGTTCGAATCCCAGAATGACTGGTCGATACAAATTCGGCATCCGCCTTGCACCTACCACAGTTCTGTTGTAAAATATCCTCAGTGGTAGACGGATCATTGTTTATAGTGGATTTATTGCTATGTTCATGGCCCTACAACTCTCTTCAAAAAGGAAATAAAAATGAAAGAGATTGCAAAACTATTAAAAAAATTTAAACGTTTAAAAAATTATAGAGACAACCCTATGACAAATGTTGAGGGAATCTTATTTAATTAGTAAATAAGTTATAGAGCAAATTATGTTTGATTGCAATCACTATCTCTAATGTTCCAAAAATTTAGACTATAGTGAACCATTTTTTTAGTGGATTTATTGCTATATTCATAGACCATATTGTAAATATATTGCTTGTTGTACTTAAATTAATACTCTTCCATTTTTTTTTAGTGCTGTCAGTGTTGATTGCTCTAGTGATCTACCCAGCTTGCTTTGCTTCTGAAATAGAGAGGAGCAATAGATCTGTCTGGGAGTTTGGATGGGCCTATGGCGTTGCATGGGGGTGTGCTATTTTCCTCTTTGGTGCCATTCTGCTTCTGCTATGCGACAAAGAAACGGAAGAGATATACCACAAAGAAAGGACCATCACACACGAAAATGGAGACGCAAGAGCGTAGGAGCACAGAAAGAGATTACTTGTAAATATAAATTGCATGAAGGGTTGCCAACGTTGCATATTATATGAATCATAGAGTTTATATTCATGTGTGTGTTGCATATTATATATTTATTTTGATTTTGTTCTCAGTTCTGTAAAAAAAATACGTGTATATAAGAGAGATGAAAACTTCTTAGAGGAAAGAGATTATTTACAAATTATAGTATCTCATCACTATTTGTTGTTTATGAATTATTTAAGAAAATCAGCAAAATGATATGATGCATTTTTGAAATTGAGATTTTAATTGTTTTTTAAATCAATTGTATTGAATGTATAGTAACTATGTTTTAAAAATTGGAGATGTTGTTAAGATCAAAAGCGTTTTTTAAATCGAATAGTAAAATAATCAGAAAATTCATCTGACCAAGAACTCAACCAGTTGGGAAATAAATTTTTCTAGTTATAAATCTGACACCTTTCCAGATTGATACCTTTGGTTCATTGATAAAATTAAGAAATTTACTGATACAATAAAATTATTTCAATATTGTAAGCAGTTTTATTGTACGTAGTTCATTAAAATCATCTGTGCATAAAATACAAATTTAATTTGTTATAGATATTTCAAAATTGTAAGCTCTTATTAACTTCTTTAAAACATTTTTGTTTTCAATGTTTGCCAAAAAATTAAGACTTTCATTTGAAATTCTGCACTTAGTTTATTAAAAATATAAGTGCAAAATATGAATTCATTAAAATTATTAATTGTTCTTAATATCAGTTTTTGAATTTTTTGTTAAAACAAAAATCTTTGAGGCCACAGAATAGAGAACTGATTATTTTTTATGGAATTCATTAGTGATTTTGATAGGAAATTGCTGTAATATATCTTCATTTATTTTGAAAAGTATGATTATAGTAAATAATTTATTGTTAAGGTAAAAAATTCTTATACATAAAAACTTTTATAAATTTTAGTTACGAGGTGTTATTTACGTATGAATTTGTTTGACTCATATAAAATTATCTAACGAACTAAGTCTCTTTCAGTCAGAAAAAAAAATCCTATTTGAAAATTACAATCACTGTTATTAAGAAAAACTTGGGAAATTTTTTTAAAAAGTGGGTTGGCTTATATAAATTATCTTGGCTTGAAATCTGAAATTTATAGATACATACCAGGGGTCTGTTTAGAAGGAATTTGGGTCCATTAACGGTCCCTTCACAAAATATCTTTTCATAAAAACGGACCCTTCACAAAATGATTTTTCTTTTAATCAGACCCTTCGCAAATCTGTTTATCTTCATTATTGTTTTGTTAATCAAATAAACCCTTCCCAGGGGGGAAAACAACAAAGATGGATGTAAATGAATTAAGTTTTGTCTTCGGCAGATGCTTCGTTCATTATTCGTCCAAAATTAATATTCTGCGTTCAGCAGTATAGGCTAAATACCAAATATTTGTATGTTGCATCTCTAATTTAGAAGCAGCAATTTCTGTTTATTTTTGAAAATTTAATTTTTTTAAAATTTTAATTTTACAGTGTTGTGCATAATCTTGTATCTAATTAAAATTTAAAAACTTCTTGAAAAAGTTTTTTGCAATAACTGTACCCTATTTGCACAAATTCATAAAAGCAGGACACTGGTTGAAAGAATGTGACTTAACGTTTATTTTATATTCACAAATTGTGAGTAATTTTTTCAAAATTTTTCAAAAACAGGACCTTTCACAAAATGTCTCGACAGCCCCGTGCATACTATCTATGCTGGGATTGATGATTAAAACTTTTAAATCTTGAGTTATCTTATTCTGGTCATATTTGAGCATTTTTGGTGCTATATGTTTTATTTACTAAGTTTTAGTTTGTGAACGTTGGCAACCCACTTTCTTCTCTAAGAGAAATCTTGTCGTCCATCCAACAAAGCAGCCATCTCTAAACCTGTTTTAACCTCTTCTTAACCTGAAACTGATCTCTCTCTCACTAATCGTTGCTGCATCCAAGCTTTTTTTAGAGATTACATTGAACTATTGGAATGTTTATTTTTTTTATTGCTTGACTTACTATGTGATTTAAGCATTATCACTGTTATAGCTGATGTCATGAAAAAAAAGTTTTGTTTCAAATCATTTTCATTGTTAATTGTTTGTAATTTTTTGTTAGTTTCTCTTCTTTTATAGTAGTAAAAATAAATGATAAGACTTTTTTCTTATTATATATTTAAAATTTAATGAACCAATGCTGTTATATAAGCAGCATGGCACTTTAACTTATTGGATTAACTATTTTGCGTATGATGGCTAAAATCATTAAAATTTTATTTATGCTTATTGTTGTCATATTTGCAATCAATTTCATTGTAATTAATATTATAATTAATCCTTATAATTACATCTGAAAGTAAACTTGAAGTATTTCGAGACCATTACGGGTTAGTTGTTATTTGATGTGATGTTAAAGAGGGTTAGGTAATTCTTCATGCAACAGAAAAGTCAGTTTTAAAATTTTTTTTCTCCATTGGGACAAAATAAATAAAAATGCTAAAGTTATTATACAGCTTGTGAACCATAAAAATAAATTTTTCCAAAATCATTCAAAATGGCAGCTATATAGCTTTTCTTCTATTAAGTCTGGACTAGTAGCAACTAACATTTTTGAATTGGTATGATAAACATTTATATTATTCTAGCTGTAAAAACATGATACATGTGTATAGTTATGAAGACAAAATTTAAAGGAATTGTGCATTTAAAAAAAAATATCACAATTCCCCAAAAAATATTTCCAGAAAACTTTTAATGATGAAAAACTTGAAATAAATTTAAAAATCCTATTTTTGTGATGATTGCAATTTTAAATTTGAAGTCAATCTGAGAAGAGTTGCTTCAGTTGTGTTAGTTTTCATTCTCAAACTTTTGAGTATATTTAAGGATTAAAATTCCTTGCACCTTTCAAGCAAATAAAGAAAAGAAAGCCCCTTTAAATTTAGATTGATACTTAACAAGTTGAAACTGTGCATGTATTTTATTTAAACAGTATCGTGAGTTACTTTTTGTTATTTCATTTTTAAATGTAAAAATACACTCTGAAACATCTTGGATGCAATTAACAGGCTTGTTGTGCTGCAGCAACAGCATTCTGCTTTTAAAGATACATTTAGATAGATAATAATAAATCATTGTGTTGTCTCTTATCTGTGAATATCGAAAAAGCACTGCAGTTTAAAATGAATGTTTAATTTTCAGATTAACAAACAAGTTATTTGTAATTTTCACTTAAAGCCACATTGAAAAAGGTGGCCTGTGCCTTGTATAAATGTTTTTGCCATGTGTCTCTTGTCCCCACTTATTGGTGTCCGTGTTTTTCTTTTCCTTAGAAGGTTGTAAAAGGGAATGCAGTTTGTTCAAAGTAACTTGGTTTTAATGATCCCTGTGTGCAGGAATGCCACCGGCTGTAGACTTTCCATGATTTAAACAAATCTTAGTTTCTGTTGAGACACAATTGTGTGATAGTTAGCACTGAGCTGTCATTTTATTTTTTTAGCTGGCATTGAACAGCTGACTTAAGGGTGCAGAAAATTCTCAGTGAATAGTATTTTCCCATAACTCAAACTGACTGTGGTCAGCAAGCAAGTGGGGGACCACTTTGATCAGCCTGCGTAGGGATCGAGGGTGCGCAGTATCGGTCCTCGTTAAACTGTTCTACCATGAAGTGCTCGACTTCACGCGCAGGTCGTCAGGCTACTTGAGCAGGGGAGCCGTCCTCTCTACAGGGGATTAAAATTGAGATGGCATTTCTTCGGATCATCCTCGGGGAAGTTTACTTGACTGTCGCTGATAGCCCATTGTGCAGCTCTAGTGCAACATAAATAAAGTACCTACCTACTGAAACTTTTATTTTATATCCATCGTTGAACACCCAGTTGAACATCGTTCAACGACCCAGTTTTTGGGTATATGACTACTCCATAGCCTTATAATTTTGAACCAATCCAGAAGACAAAGAAACTCCTTGATCAGTTCCCCCAGAGGTATGATTTGTTCTATCATAACTTTGTAATATTTTTCTCAACCCAGAAATAAAAAATAAAAACTCTTGGATCAAGCATTGAATTAAACTAGCCTTTGAGCAGAACATTTTGATGGCACTAACTCCCATTTTTATTAAATCGAGTGAGGAAATCCACGTAAACTTTCCACGGTTAGCCAGACAGCAAAGACTCCTAATCCATCTATCACTGAGGATATTTTATGTCAGCATTGCAGTCAGTGCGAGTCAAGATTAGTATTTTTTTCACTGAGCTGTCATTGTGAAGTTCTACTCCTGAGGGCAGCTTAAAGCTCTTCGCATTGGTGCATACCAGCGCCTGTCCGGAAGATGGCTTCAAACTAAATTCTATTGTAGTCACTATGAATGGCATAGAAGACGTGATAAAATAATTCCGTATAATTAATTCCTCAAAAGCATGATGAGAAAACTGGTTCAAGTGCCCACAGTATTTATATACAGGGGTTGAAATCAAGAAAATTTAGTCATGGTTCAGAAGGGGGTGCCAGTAACTAAAAGATATTTAAAGTTTGTATATATGTTCAATGTTTGGTTTCTATTACATTATTTTTAAAGAAAAGTTAAAGTGAATTTAAAAGAAAAGTTACAATACGAAGAATGTAACGATTATAGCGAAATGTTGGGACAGTAATACAGACGAAAACATAACATCGAAACAGCATGCCATCCCTTAACATCGATTGTTAACCGAGGGAATCACTGGTAATTATTTAATATGGAATATAAATTCCTTTAATATAATGCTAGGAAAATTCTATGTGAAACTAGAGAAAAATATTTAGTTTAGTACTACTGGTTGGCATCCCTGCTTTTTGCATATTTTTATTTAATTTATCTGAATACATCGATCCTAAAATATTATAATTATTTACCAAATTACATCCTGGTTTCTTTAGTTTTATACAGTCAGTGGTTGGTTAATGTGTATTTTATGTGAATAGTCTTCTCTGTTAGACTTAAGTGCAGTGTTATTTTTTCTTTTGTTAAATTATTTAAATAAATATTATTTTTTTAAATATTCTTCTGAAAAGGAATGTGGGTATTTAATCCATAACTCATGCTGTTTGCTACATTAAAACAACAAAATATGTAATTAAAATATTTTAATTATTTATCAACTAATGAAAGTTTAAATATACTCAGTCATTAAATGAGTTAGAAAAAAAAAATCAAAGTCTAATGAGCCAAATTTTGTTGTGTAAATATGAAATGTTAGTGATTTTTATTTATACTTTATTAATATTAGTAATGTAAGTAATGTGTGCTGAAATAGAAAGCTTTAAACTATATCATAGTGGTGGACAAACTTAATGGATGTGTATAAAAAGTAAAAAATGTTGAACAATATGTATTTCTGGATTTTTTAAAATTTTTATTTATAATGATTTAATTATCAGAATTTTTGGTAAATCACTTATTTGAGAGAGCTTGACTTGGCAAAAAAGTAAAAAATAAATGAGCAATATGTATTTCTAGATTTTTTGCTAAAGTCAGTTATGAGTAGATGTTAATTATGAGAATTTCTGTTAAATAATGTAGTTGCAGTAGAATGATTTCTGTGTCACTGATATAATTTTTTTTTCTTTTAAGTAAAAATGTTTCAACAATATGTTTTACTAGAGTTTTGCTACATTTATGAGTTACTGCATTTATAAGTTTTGCTGCATTTATAATGTTAATTATCAATATTTTTGCTAAAGTTAGTGAGCTCAGTTATGAGTAAATGCTAATTATCCAAATTTTTATTGAATCACAAAATAACATAGTTGCAAAAGTCTGACTTCCATGTCTCTGAAATAACATCACAAAAAAAAACTAAAAAAAAGATGCAATTTGGCAACCGGAAATTCCATTTCCTTTTTAATTATTATAAATTTTCTTCCCCTAACTTTGCCTGAAAGATTGCTCATAAATTTTTATGGAAATTTCATATTTCAGACTTTTTATTTTCCTAAAAACACTATTAAAAGGCACTTAGAGTCATTGATTAGGTTGTATCCTTATAAAGTTAATTACACGAATCACAGCTCAGGGTTTGCAGACATCAGAAAAATATTACACATGCAACATTATTTTAAATTGCTGCAAGTTTGAATCATTACTAGTAAATATCTCGAGCAGAAGTTGATATCGTTATTTACCATGTACATTATAGCTATATGAATTTTGTAAATGAAAATGAATTGTGATAATTTGAAAGCAGCAATAAAATTCAATCTGCAGGGTATTTAAAGGAAACAAATATTTTGTTTTTTGACCGCAAAAGACCTTACACACATTATTTGTTTTAAAAAAAAAACATGTGTTATTTTAAGTGATAGAATATATTTTAATGATTATATCTCTTAAACTATTATTACTTAAAATTTGTAAATTTTAAGTGATAATGTAACAGGGTTGCCACTCTACAGGGAGAATGGGAAAAACCTGGAAAATACAGGGAATTTAAACATCTCTTAAAATAACGGGGAAAATGCAGGGAATTTTGAGTTTTTCTTTAGAAATTAGGAAAATAAAGGGAATTTTATTTCTTATTTTCATCTTTTAAAAGATAACTACTCAAAGCCTAATATGGGATATTTCAGCTACATTAAACTATTTCATTTACTACAGCATTATTTAGGTATGTTTAGTTGTTCCTTTTTTCCCTCTTAAGTTTTTCCAGCAACTAAAACTAATATAGCTCAGACATGAGCACAGTAATTGTTGTTTCCTCTTAATATAATGTGTATAGAGAAAACACAGGGAATTTTTTTTCTTCAGATTTGTGTGGCAACCCTGTGTAAATATATTACTTTAATAGATATAATCCTTAAAATATATTCTATGACTTAAAATAATTTAAATTAAAAAAACAAGTTTACTTAAAATTTGTATATTTTAAGTGATGTAATATATTGTAGCCAAATAACTTTTAATGTACATTTTCTAATTATTTTATGTATTAGCTCTTCAATTTCTAACTAAGTAAGATTATAGACAATGCTTTGGAAATACTGTAAATGAGAAAACATATTTATAATAATAATGCATCGGATTCATGAGCTGCCTATCTATAAGTTGTTTTATTTAGATAATATATTTAACTTTAGTTGAATCCATGGAAATCATTTATATGCTGGCTAAATTAAAGGATAAATAAGTTGATGAAAATTTAATTTTCTAAGAATCGTAAAACATTTTTTCATAAAATAAATGTATTATATATATATTATAGTTCGTGACACTTTCTAAACTCCAGCAACTGTCCTTTAGAGTATATATTTTGATTGTTAAAAAACTAAAAATTTAATAATTTTAAAAAAACTTTGTAAATCTGCCAACTTTAAGGCTGGCTGAACTAAGCAATACTTTGTAGTGTTCTACCAATAACAATTATACATAGCAATCATCATAAATTAACGTATTAACTAAAAGTTTAAAATTTGTATGTGTACTGTTTCTGGGAATTATTATTGCTGTTATGCAAAATTTCTCAATAATTACCAATAAAATCCTTTCTAAAGGGGATGATGTGTCTTAATAAAATTTTAAAGCGATTATTTATTGAAAAATGTATTCCTTTTTTTTCTGAATATTTCAAATTCAGTGCAATATTGTTTCTGATTTTTAAAATATTTCTATGATAAACTTTGTGTACAGTAGAATCCTGATAATCTGAGTGATCTCTATAATCTGATCTACTATTCATTCATGATTTTGTTTTGTTTGGGTTTTTAGTGTTCCACTAATAAACTATCGCATTTAATATTGACAAAGTTACTCTAACGCTGCATAATCTGGGCTTATAAAAATTTTCAAAAACTAAGAGATATATAAGATTTTGATAATTTTAAACTTTGTGTAAAAAATGTCGCCAGATTGGCGATTTCTGTAAAAAAAATTAATAACTTTTAAAATAAAATTGTTTATCTTTTTTTAGGCCCAGATAATACTTTATGGCAAGATTGTATAGATAGTTTAAAATTATAACTTTGCCTCAAGTGTAAAATACTTAAAAAGTGACTTTTTATGAACTTATTATTTTTTTTTTTTGGAAGAGGGGAACACTGTTGAGATGCAATCTGATCAGACCTAGGCTTTGTTAGATCTTGATTAAACCTATTACAACAATTGAGCTAACAATTCACGTGTTTAGTCGGTTGCAGAAGTTGTGCAACTGACTTAACATGTGAATTGTTTGCTTTTGGTGCTATGGTTTTATTTTTTATTGTAACTATTATTATAATTTTTTTTTTATTGCTTATATTCAACATTTTTTTTCTTTTAAATTATGTCAGATGTAACTTATCTTCTACAAAGATTCTTTGTATGTTAAAAAAAAAAAAAAAATCTTCTGAATTTTTAGGATTTAGTGGGGGTGATGGTCTCGATTAACTCACATTACTGGGATTCTACTATTTAAAAAAAAATTATTCATTTTGTCTGTAAAATTTATGCATAATATAAATATTTTACATTTATTTATAACTTTTTATTAATTGTATTGTTAACATAGCTGTCAACTTTTATGTATTTTGCTGAATTTTAGTATCAGTAGTGAAAATTTATTCTTTAATATTTGGTTCTGAATTCAGTAGATTTGATCTTAAATGACTTGCAATACAATTCAAATGCGTGAGGGGCAGACCTCGTTTTAGTGCAGCAGTGCTTTTAAATTTTTTGTATTATTTGATTTTGTTTATGATATTTGATTTTTAAAAATTTTCTTTTGCTACAACTAAGAAAATTATTCTGCAAAAAGCATAAGTGTTGGCAGCAGCTATAATAATAATGTGAAGACATAATTTAACGATTGATCTAAGACTTTGTATTCATGTGGCATGTGTTGACTTCTATGTGTTAATCGTTTGAATCCCATTCGGGCAACACGAGTAAAAACGAATATTTAACCAAATACTAATAGTAATATCTTTGGCAAAAGAGCCAGAAATAATCCCTCCATTTAGAAAATCCCTATAATATATATACATATATTTATTTTTCAAATTATATGTGCTGTACATACGTGTGTGTAATTGTATATAGATGCTATTAAAAAATCTGAATAAAATCACATCGACAGTAATTTTTTTGCAAGTCGAAAATTCACTTCTTTGTGTCGTAGAAAGTCTTTGGGAGAAAAAAAAATTTTTTTTCCAATGTTATAGCATTTTTACGTGTTCCTAGATTCCCTGTGAATGTTTTATGCAATTCATACGTTTTCTCTTTATTGGAAATGTTTATTAAAAGTTGTACTGTTTTAATAATGTAACATGTGTTACCCACAAATTCAATCCATGCACCAATTTATAGTGTCTAATATTTAAATTAAATCCACTGAAATTTTAATGGCTTCTTGTTTGAAAAAAAAATGATATTTGTATCATTTACCTTAATTGCCTTTTTTTTATTATAGAATAACATGCATGTTTTTAAAACAAACTCATTTTCTCTGCAAAATATTTTATAAAGTGGTAAGGAATTAAACACCTAATTTTGAAATCACTTAAAATCCACTCTATAAGATTAGTGATATTTTATATTCAAATAAAATAAAATTTTCTAAACCTAAAGTCAAATATTAATTAATTAATTTTTTTTCGAATTGAAACAAGTTGGAAACTTCTTACCTTTAGGAACATCGTGAGATATTAATGAGACCTAAATTAATATTTGAACAATAAGTTTTAAATTTTTTTTGAAAAATTTTGAAGTGATGGAATCATAATTTATGGATTTTCTTGACTTTAGAATGAAGTATCAGCGACTAGTTTATGTTGAATTTATTATTATTAATTTCTTTTGGTGATATATTGCTGAACTCATCAATTAAATTAAATGATACATTTTCAAATGTAAGAAATAAATATAAAGAAATAAGTATATAAGAGAAATCGGCTAATATAATTTTGAAATATCATAAAGTCTAATCTAATTTTTACTTTCAATATTTTTAATAAATCTAAATTTTTTCTTTTTTATGATTTTGTTTAAAGAGGTTTTAGTTGTCAGAATAGCTTGTGTTTAAATTACAGCCAAAAGTAATAGTAACAAAATTTACACTTTCATTTATACATACAATAATGTAAAATAAACAATCCTTTAGACATTTATTTTTCAATTCTATTTGTGCAAAAATTTCCTACTTTGTATAAAATGTTTAAGTTATTAAGTGTATGTACTTCACATATTAGTATCAGTTTTTTTTTCCGTTAGGAATAAAATTATTTATTAATGAAGTTGTTTACCTCCCTTTTTGAAAGAAAGCTGAAAAAAATGTCTCATTAATTGCTGTGTTTAATTTTAAGCATTTCTTGCAATTTTCTTCAATAAAACTATTGTGAATAAAATTTATTCTGTATAAAACAGTGATTTCTTTTACTTTGCATTGATTAGTACACCTTTTTAATAACTAAAAAAATGCCTTTTTTAAAAAAAATAAATAAACCTGAACAAGAAAGATTTGTGTATTATTTTTAAAGCACCTTTCATTTTCAATTCCTTTGTTGAATATAAAAAGGGCTATAAAATCAATTTATTTAACATTGAAATGGACCCCATTGTAGACTGTTGAAAATCAAGTTAAATTTCGGACTACTTTTTAGTAAACATTAGTGGTATAAATAATAATTTTTTGATTGTATTACATAAGAATTAAATTTTTTTTTTGCAGGATGTTTTTTTTTAATTGTAACTAGCTGTTTGTACAGGTATCTATTAATCGAATCATTCAAGCGAGGACCATGCGCGTTTTTCCAATCTTCTGCAGAATTTTTAATTTAGATTGAACATTGTGTGTGTTTATGTATGTTTAATGATTGATATGTGTATAACTAATTAATTTTAGCGATTT